CCTTTTGACCTCAATGTGGACAAAGTTGATAACGGGGCCCAAAAATCAAAATACATGGTTAGATTCAGCATATCAAAGAACCCCATATATTCAATTTTTGTTGAAATCAAACAAAGTTTAATTTTGGACCCCGATTTGGACCAACTTGAAAATTGGGCCCATAATCAAAAATCTAAATACATGTTTAGATTCAGCATATCAAAGTACCCTAAAAATTCAATTTTTGTTAAAATCAAACTAAGTTTAATTTTGGACCCTTTTGACCTTAATGTAGACCAATTTGAAAACGGAACCAAAAATTAAGAATCTAAATACACGGTTAGATTCGGCATATCAAAGAACCCCAATAATTCAATTTTTGATGAAATCAAACAAAGTTAAATTTTGGACCCTTTGGACCTCAATGTGGACCAATTTAAAAACGGGGCCCAAAATCCAAAAACTTAATACACGGTTAGATTCAGCATATTAAAGAACCCCAAGAATTCAAGAATAAAACCCCATTGAAATTGATCAAGAAATAAGCAATTTATACGAAGTATCTTCTTTTGCACAATACTGTGCAATTGAATATTTCTTGCTATTGTGCAATACTGTACAATTGACAATTTCTTGCTATTGCGCAATATTGTGCTATTGGATATTTCTTGCTATTGCACAATACTGTGCAATTGAAGATTTCTTGCTATTGCGCAATACTGTGCAATTGAAGATTTCTGGCTATTGCGCAATACTGTGCAATTGAAGATTTCTTGCTATTGCGCAATACTGTGCAATTGAAGATTTCTTGCAATTGTGCAATACTGTGCAATTGAAAATTTCTTGCTATTGCACAATACTTATTATATAATAATTTACACATCCTGTTTGGTGTGTATCTCCTACCATATCAATATTATTTGCTTTTAAATATTAATCAGAAATAACCAACTTAAAATGGAAAATTTTAAAAGAAAAAAAAAAGTAAAAAAAGAAAAAAAAAGAAGAAAAAAAAATTCCCCCCCCCCCCAAATTTTTTGAACCCCCTTATGATTCATCACCCCCAAACTCAATCCCAGCCTTCCCTTTGTGGTATGGTACCTTGCAGTACAATTTCAGAGAGATACATTCACTTGAACACAAGTTATTGTCTGGAAACTAGAAAAATGCTTATTTTTGGCCCCTTTTTGGCCCCCAATTCCTAAACGTTTCGGGCAATTACCCCCAAACTCAATTCCAGCTTTCCCTTTGTGATATGGAACCTTGTAGTACAATTTCAGAAATATCCAAACACTTACACACAAGTTATTGTCATGAAACTATAAAAATGCTTGTTTTTTGCCCCTTTTTTGGCCCCTAATTCCTAAAATTTTGAGGCAATTACCCCCAAAATCAATAACAGCCTTCCCTTTGTGATATGGAACCTTGTGGTACAATGTCAGAGAGATCCATACACTTACACACAAGTTATTGTCTGGAAGTTACAAAAATGCTTATTTTTGGCCCCTTTTTGGCCCCTAATTCCTTAACTGTTGGTACCATAACCCCCAAAATCAATCCCCACCTTCCTTTCGTGGTATTGAACCTTATGGTAAAATTTCATGGAGATCCATTCACTTAAACTAAAGTTAGAGTGCGAAAACCAATGTGTCTTCGGACGACGCCGGACGACGCCAGACGACGACGACGACGACGACAACGACGACGACGACGACGACGACGACGCCAACGTCATACCAATATACGACCAAAAAATTTTCAATTTTTGCGGTCGTATAAAAACTGGTAAAAAGTTACATTGCCGTTCCCTCTTAAAGGACGCTGACACTATGGAATTTCTTTAAATAATTGTTATCATGTTTCATGTATACAAACCTTTAAATGTGTCAAAATGATCGGATTTATAGCATCTATAACTAGCATCAGTGGAAATACCACATTAGAATAAATAGAGTTTAATTGGTGTGACAATTAGCTGATGCATTTACGACTGTGGTTTAACCGCATCAAAAATAAATAAGACATCTGATTAGTTTCAGATACTTATGATATAACCAAGCAAGTGATAATATCAACCTATTGATATATTTAATCTGAATTTCTCACCCTTTTCATATATTATGGAGCATGAAATAGTGGACCTATTCCAGCGGCTCATCCCTACCAATTATTACATAGTAAGTGCCCTCCCTCCCCCCCCCCCCTTCCCCCCCCCGAGTTTATACGATCCTTTTGAAATAACAATAAGAAAAATTTGTATACAATTGCGTACAACTCGTGTATTTAATACATAACTTTCGCAGAGTTCCGTAAATATATAATGGTAATTGTAATGTATAGATAAAGATCCGTATTTTTCATTTTTTAAAGCACTGATAACTGATGGAAAGGATGCTATCATGGTGTTTTATTGCTGTGTGACCAAGGATCATACTCCTCATCACAGTAGTTGCATTTGAAAATTGTTCTTGTTTTCCATTCATAGAACGATAAAACAAATAACCATCAAGACAAATAGTAAATGAAACATCTAGGATGTATTTTCTGTTAAAAAAATGTACGTACGTCTCAATCCAGCATTGGACTACTTGATACTTCAGTCTGGGAAAACATGATTTATTTATTAATTGTAAATGGCTTTGAACTAGCTTTCAGTAACCGTGAGTACTCTTATATCGATACTTTGTATCTATTGTTTTCATGTTATTTGGTTTGTCTGTGCTTCGTATCGATCGATTTAGTAAAGCCATTTGTAACTGATTTTTACAGTTTTTCTTATTTTGTGCTGTAACACCAATGTCCAGAGTTAGGGGAGGGTTGAGGTCTTACAAACATGTTAACCCTGCCACAATCTTTATATGCCTGTCCCAAGCCAAGAGCCTGTAATTCAGTGGTTGTCGTTGGTTCATGTCCGTCATATTTGTTTTTTTTTTTCGTTCGTTCTATTGTATAATTTAGGTCGTTAGTTTTATCGTTTTGATTGTTTCATTTTTTTAATGTTGGGGTCTGTTATAGTTGACTATAAGGTATAGGGTTTTCACATTGTTGAAGGCCGTACGGTGACCTATATCTACTTTTATCTTCGTCGTTTGAACTCTTGTAGATAGTTGTCTCATTGGCAGTCATACCACATTTCCTTTTCTTTATATATATATGTGTGTGTTCATATTAATATTGTTTACAACACGAATATTTACTGTATGATATACATATTTGGTCGAATCGATATCGATATACGTATGTTTGGACCGATACAACATGTGTACCTGAGGGTTGACCTGTTGGATAGTTTCACCATATTTACATGGCCGCGACATGTTTGATCTATCCAAATATACCAATGCCGGTGTCTATACAATTTATAAGATGTGGCAAACAATAATATATACAAATATACGATGCTCTTTACGAATGTACGTGTTGCATACTACAGTATAATCAAACTGGTTAAATGCATTGTTTTTTTAAACGTAATCGCACTGACATATAACATTTAAAGCCTTAGAAGAAGTCTGTTTGTTTTTCATTTTTGGTCATATTCACTCGAAAAAACGTGGCCACACTTGAAAAAACACGATCCCAGCCGGACACTATACCTACTGTGTTAATGAATATTAAATAACCATTAGTCACAAATATTTCTATTGTAAAAGTAGTTTACATAGTTTTAATGAACTCTTTCGATGATTCGTTGGTTCCTCATTCCTATATTGTCACAATATAAACATATTGGGGTGTGGTATGAAAGCAAATGAAACAACTATCCACCAGACCCCAAATGATGTGGATGTAAGCAGGTATAGGTCATCGTAAGGCCTTCATCAATGAACAAAACCCATACCTTATATATAGTCAGCTGGCCCCGACATGATATCACTTTTTCATTTTTATAAGAACTACATAATTTTATAGCTTAGCTGCCTGCATTATGATTAATTTTTAAAAATGAAGTCTTATTGATGAATTCAATGCTATAGGACATAGAAATTTCACATCCGACACCTAGAAAATGCGAATTACTAAACATTTCTCTTTATAATAGCCACTAATCGTTCTTCAAAGTCAACATAAACAGCAGATGGTTAAAAATTTTAATTCCGGTCTCCGCAAATTGAAACAATCTCATAGAAACTATGATGGAAGTGTTCCTCGGACTTACCAGAATACAGAATGAACATACGAGGAATATAGTTTCTATATATATACCTTGACTTGGGTAAATCTGGTTAAGATAACAGGTTAATTTATATAGGTAAAAAGCGCACATGTCCGGTCAATTTGGTTCAGGTGTATCAAAGTTAAAAGCGCAAATGCCCATATTGTTTGAGAGCAAGTGTCCTGTTGTGTTACAGGTAACATGGTGCAAACGTCCTGCGACCACAACATTAGAATAGACTAACATTCATTCGCATGCGAAATAGGGTCACTGTTTAAATTTAAATCTGAACGTAATTTTGTCAGATTGTAAGGGCGTAATTGTTTTTCAACACTTTCTTTCGTACACTCAAAGTTCAACTTTCAATACCCCTACATGAGGGTCTGGATGGTGGGGGGTCCTTCGTTTCTGTATTCTTTTTAATTTTTTAGGCCATTTTTTCTATTCTTTATACTTTTTGCCCATTATTCTCTATTCTTTATATTTTAGCACCTCATTTTTCTCTATTCTTTATACTTTTGCGTCCATTTTTCTCTATTCTTTATACTTTTTGGTCCATTTTTCTCTATTCTTTATACTTTTTGGTCCATTTTTCTCTATTCTTTATACTTTTTGGTCCATTTTTCTCTATTCTTTATATGTTTTGCCCATTATTCTCTATTCTGTAAACCCCTATCTACACCCTCCTACAATGCTCAGCTAAGTTTCTGAACGGTAAACTTTTTAAAGTCTATCATGTCGTCCTTTTTGAAATATTTTTTTTTATTACTCAGATTAAAGGACTGTCTTAATTAACCGATCAAACTGGTTACCTGCCAACCTTGCTTTGGAACTATACATAGAAACACTACAAAGAATTATTAAGATCGTTTTTTTGTTGTTGGTTATACTGAAAGAACAAAGAAGTGTTTCAACTTCTTATACGTATCAAGTTATGTCAAATGATTGACAACACGTCATACACATAAATTGTTTCTTTGATTAATCAGGTTCCAAGGGCGTTCAGAAAGATTCGATATTTCATAGAAATCAAAGAGTTTGATGATTTTTTTAAACTTGTCGTATGCAAACAAAAGAAAACCGTTTGTAGAAACATTCTTTTTTGATTTATTATATTTATTTTTAAGAAGTTTGACTAGTTATTCAGGTGTATGAAAACAGAAAATTATGAAAAATACGTCAATTTCAAATTTTACGTCAAAAAATTATTTCAATAACCGAAGGTGTGGAAAAACATAATGTTACAATCAAAAATCGCTTTTAGTGAAAATGAAAAAAATGTCAATAATAAGTTTTAGTTTAGAGCCAACTTTAATATCTAATGACCCTATGTACTCTAAAGTGATGCTTGACGTAACACAGTTGAATGACGGCCATCTTCAATACATTCGGTTAATATATATATATATATATATTTATATGTGTGTGTAGTTCATTCATGTTCAAACTGCTTTTTCTTTTCTTTGTATATATACTTGACTATTGTTTTTTGTTTTTGTTTTTTGTTTTTTTTTGTCTTATTAATGCCTTATATTGTATTATGCTCTTTGTGGGTCCATTTAATGGTTTAATGGAAATAAAACATCTTCTTCTTCTATACAGTTTCGATTGCCTTACAAGATCTCTTAGTAATTTCTCCAATACTTGTGTTAAACAAAATCTGAAGCATATTGCCCAACATGAACTGTTGAATAAACAGTAATTTGAATTCTAGTATTATCGTAAGTATGCATGCAATTTTAGTTTCTTGAGTATAATTTGGAGTTTAGTATGACGTCCATTATCACTGAACTAGTATACATATTTGTTTAGGGGCCAGCTGAAGGCCGCCTCCAGGTGCGGGAGTTTCTCGCTGCATTGAAGACCCATTGGTAGCCTTCGGCTGTTGTCTGCTCTATGGTCGGGTTGTTGTCTCTTTGACACATTCCCCATTTCCATTCTTAATTTTATTAGTTTAACATGAGACGATATACTAGTTACCCGAATAATCCAGTCGTTATATATTTCGCCATTCGATCTCCGAGAGGACTCTGACCGACTCAGTTATTCTAGTTATTCGACTATACGAACAAAATATCCCTTTTGAAAAAGTTAAATCTCTCATTCAATCCAGTACATGGTAGTACACAAAGTAATAGCCAATATAATAATGTATATATATTTAGTTGAATGTTTTTGTTCACCGACTGATGTTATTTCTCCCTGTATGTACCTTATTTAAATACCCCAATGTACAATGGTTTAAAAAGAAGGATCTTTAGTTGTAAGACTTAAAATAAATAATGTTTAAATATAGAAATGGCCATTACTGAAATACACTTATTAAGGCTGATCTTAGGTTTTCTTGTGTTGCAATGGCTTTGTATCATTTTGCCGACTCTTTTAGAAACAAGGGTACCAACTGAAATTGTAGAAAATCAGAATCTAATTGTATTAGTTGATAAGGAAAACATAATTAAAGAACGAAAAGTGGACAATAAGGACACCATAATAGCCATTGTTGACGAATACCTACAACATCACGAAAAAAGGAATGTCCGGAAAGCGGAAGTTTTGAATAGTTTAGGAATCACCGAGTGTATTGGATGTAAGAAGTTTGATTTCAATACACTGCTGAACACGGGAAGATGCCTTTACATGCCAAACAACAACCTTCAGATATTAATTATGATTATGAGTAAACCAACAAATGTACTACAGCGTAAGACTATAAGGAATACATATCTGACTGATCTTCAAAAGAAACCTTTAAATTATGTTTTCGTGCTTGGAAAAACGGATGATCCTAGGATGGAAGAAAACATCAAGAAAGAAAGTGATTTTTATAATGACATTGTGAAATTTGATTTCTTTGACAGTTATGAAAACTTAACTATCAAATCGGTTATGGCTTTCAAATGGGCAGTATGGAATTGTGAGCATGCGCGTTTTGTTTTAAAAGTTGACGACGATGTTTGGATAAATACAGGCGCTTTATTACGCGCATCTGAATCGTCTCCATTCATCAATCATATAGGAGGTTTTCGTTACAATGATGCTGAACCTGTAAGAAAAACACACCACAAACATTTTGTATCAGAGCAAGAATATCAAAGTGAAAAGTTCCCGCCATATTGTAATGGTCCATCTTACATAATGACCATGCAAACTGCAGAGGACATTAGTATTGTTGCTGATTATCTACCCGTTCTACACATGGAAGACGTTTTCATTGGTTTATGTATACAGACATTGAATTATACCGTTACTCATAACCCAAAATTCCATAGGTTTGAAGGATACCATCATGCATGTTACTACAAATCTGATGACGTTTTAACTTACCATCAAATACCACCTCCTTTCTTTAATATCATACAGAGGATTAAGTGTAACGAAAGGCAAAATTTCACTCGCATATCTCCTGTAGACCGATCACAACAGTACCAGTTGATAAACAAAAATTTAACAGACTTTTCTAAGAGGCCAAAATGTGACAAATGTTTTAACTACCAACATTCAGTATTAATAAGTAATAATGTTTGTGACCTTGGAGTATTTTACTTATTTGTTTTAGTATTTTCCTCAGCTACCAACATTAATAGAAGAATAACTATAAGGAATACTTATCTTAAACCATTCAGACGACAGAATCCTCATCTGCGTTTTTTGTTTATTATGGGGAACAGCAACGATGTGCGAGTAAATACAATAGTGAAGGAGGAAAATAAACAGTTTCATGATATTTTGAAATTCAATTTTACAGATACATACCTGAATTTGACTTTAAAGACTTTAAATGGCTTCAACTGGATATCTCGAAAATGCAGAAATGCAAGATATGTTCTAAAAATTGACGACGATGTCTGGCTTAATGCACCGGAGTTGTTGAAAACACTACAAACTAATGTTCCTTTTCAGCATATCGGAGGAGAATGTCATTTCAAAGGGCAACCCATAAGAAACCCAGCAAGTAAATATTATTTATCACCTGAAACTTATCCATATTCTAATTTCCCAGCTTTTTGTGCCGGACCTTCATACATATTACGTAGAAATGTCATCAACGATATTATGCAAATATCGCGAGATGTGCCATTTTTCCAACTAGAAGATGTTTATATCGGGATGTGTTTATATTATCTTGGATATAAAGTTACATTTCTTCCTACTTTTAACACGTACACAAAATTTCAGTTTCATTGTTGGTTTAAATCGGACAAAATTCAAACATTTCATTCAGTATCGTCTAATTTTATGACACAAATTTGGAGAACGGATTGTTCAAAATATTCTCACGAATTGTGGAAACAAGGATTTCATGGTAAAAACTTTGGTACATTCCAAAAATTTCGTCCATTTGACAGCGAATTCAGAAAAGATATCAACCGCGAAAAGATAAACTCAATAGAAAGTGTCAGAAAATATATACAACATGAACTGGCGCCTAAAATAAGAAATGATTACCATCAAAAGACAAATAGTACATAGAGCGAAATGAGATACTAAATGTTTTTTGTGACATGAAACTAAAAGCTCAGTTTCGGTAGGTTGCAGATAACAAACCAGACGAGGTCTAAGTCACCTGTTGAAGGTAACATCGAGAAATGTCGATTTATCTTAATTTCATCAAACTGTGCTTGCTAAATGTGGAGAAACGTCGAGTAATCATACTTTCATTAAATTTTGCATGCTTCATAATGTTCTATAATAGAAAAACAAAGGATTTAGGGTGTCCATCCGTGACACAAAATCAGTACATGCACAGCAAAAAACACACACAAAAAAAGCAAAGGAACAGCGCTTTTATTGCTGTTCTTTATCTCAAAGTCACAGTGAGGCTTTTCTGAGATATATAATTTAACATGTGTTTCAAGATGTTGGACTTTGAATACTCGAAGGTATAAAAAGGTCGAGTTGTCATTACTGAAGCACTGATATGTTGGACTTTGAATACTCGAAGGTATAAAATGTCGAGCTGTCATAGCTGAAGCACTGATGTGTTGGACTTTGAATACTCGAAGGTATCAAATATCGACTTGTCATTCCTGAAGCACTGGTATGTTTAAACGAATGATGTTGTTTGTCGTCGTTACCTTATGTTCTACAATCCTTGTTTTGACTTTGAATGGACTAATATAGAATTTTACCAGGAATAAGTCGACGGGGCTGTGACCACAATAATACCATGATTATAGATCTGTTTTCACGTGATATGGCTTATTCATTCTTGATGTTGTCTTTGTGGATCTCTGTTTAATTGCCGGTTTCAAATTGAGCCATTGATTACTTCAACCTCTATTACAAGATTTATCAACATTAAATCTGATTCAAATACAGATCATATGTCCATTCTTCACATCTGGTCTTGTCCTTATGATACACACCATAAAAAAAATTCATTGGCGGATGTAGTTTTCATCAAAACAGCAAAACAAAACTCCTTTTAAGCAAAGCGTGGACACAAGGTTTGTACTTTAATCATATTGTATCTCAGACCTTTTTGATTGTTTTATTGCTTTAAATGTTGTATTAGTTAATGGCTTTAATAAGTTCTGATTGATGTACACAAGTATTCATGACTTGCATGATGTGAATAAAAGAAGTAGTGGTGTATATCAATGAGACAGAAAACCAACGAAACACATAACCAAAAGACAGCTACAGGTCAACAAACAATGTTCAAAAAAACACAAGTGTCTATACAATATGCCAAGCCCTAAATGTTACCGAGTCTAAAGCATTCTAGAATAATTTAATTTTGGATGTAACACGTCTTCTGCTTGGCTGATTTTTTTTTGGTCTATCAGATCATAGACATAATTTTGTCATGTGACCGTGACGTCATCATCGTCTTTTTCATGATTTACTCCTTAAAAATAGAATTTGGAATTAAATTAAAAGGAATGACTGTAATATTTTCTGTCTTCGAAATAACCTAAAAAATGTGGTGCACACTTTTAAATAACCCTGTACGCGGGTTATTCACTGTGCACCACATTTTTGATGTTATTTCTTCATTCACATAAAAAATATAACAGTCATTCCTTTAATAGATTAAACAGAGACTATCAAGGGTATGTCATCAATACTGATATAAAGATGTCTAACACAAAAGAACCACCAGAGGCGGATTTAGAGGGTTTTTCAGGGGGCCCGCCCCCCCACCCCTTTTTGTGAGAAAAATTTGGTTGATTATATAGGGAATCACTGAAGCATGACTGGAGCGGGCCCCCACTTAGGCAGTCAGTGGGCCCCCTTATGAAAATTTCTGGATCCGCCACTGAAAAAAACACTGACGATTTTTCTGACAGACATATGAACAAATGAACAAAACAACAACAAAATCAAAACACCCATACATTTCCTTTTGTGTGGCTACTTTACTTAGGTTCATGAAGATTTATGTTAATGAACATTCTTTATATCAATTTTTAAGCAGTCATGTTTAATCAATGTTGTTAAAATAAGAACTGTCTGGATAGTAAACAAGGTCCGTTCTCCCTGATTCCTCCAACGTGCACATAATTTCAATGCGTCGAATTACATCAATCAGAATAGACAGATCAATACGAAATATTCCCGTAAATGGAGAATCTAAGTCAGCTACTATGTAACACAGCATTCCAATAGAAAACAATGTCAGAGTACACAGCATGAGTTCCATCTTGTAGGAGAAGGCTTGTATCATCATGACACCATATAGTGAGAAAAATCCTAGAGTTACAAGAAATGTCCATCTGAAGAAAAAAAAACAACTCTTATTAATAGATTTTCTAAACAAAATTGGAATTCTAAACATTGAAGAGTAATTGTTGGCTTTGAAGAGAATATCCCTGATAAAAATACTTACATATATTGATGAAATACATTCATGATATTAATGTTCTCGATGACGCATTCTGCTAAATAGATTTTATAATTAACATCGGAATTCTAAACATTTAAGGGGTATTGTTGGTTTGAGAAAATATCACTTATAAAAATGTATATATATATGTAGGACTCAAATCTATGGTGGGTTCCAAATCTATGGCAGATTCCTAATCTATGGCAAATATGACGTCATGACATCCCAAATCTATGGCAGATTTTTTACAATCCTAATCTATGGCAAGTTTTGTAGTTTCCTAATCTATGGTGGATTTTGTTCAAATGGAAAACAATGCAGTACATATACGAACAATGACTTTTCTTAAACAAGTGGACATGTACGACAACGGAAGCATGTCTATAAACATTTGTGAAATAAACATTCCATAATGGTCAACTTTGCCAGCCGTAAAATATTTATTATAACTCCTTTTCTAAAATATCCGGTACTGAAAACAGCGGTGTACTTATTCATTGCGGGCTTCGGCCGGTACCGCACATTTTGTCCCTCTTTCGGATAATAGGTCACATCTTCCTTTAAACCATCCGCAAATTGTTTAAAAATGTTCAAATCTATGGGTTCCGCAATCGTAAGCGGCGGCGACGATGTAATATGGCGTTTTTCAATTGTGACGTTATGAAAAGGTCTGCCATAGATTTGGAGAAAACAAAAATCTGCCATAGATTTGATTTGTTTGACGTTTGTAACGTCACTTTTGCCATAGATTAGGAATCTGCCATAGATTTGGAACCCGCCATAGATTTGAGTCCTACATATATATTGCCACAATAAATTTCTATAGAAAAGATGAACTGAAACAAAACCATCACAGAGTTGTGAATTGCTGCACAAGCAAAGCAATGATTTTTCAGCATAACTGGCGTAATACAGGCGACATATGTTATTTATTAAAATTTAGTGAATTATAGGTAATATAGAAATCATTTCGAGTGCTAAAAATAATATCTTCAATGTTCACGGCATTAACTGTGTAATTTTAGTTTTAGAACATTCTGCAGATGTAAAAATATGAAAGAAATAAAGTTCAGTCAAAATCTAGATGCAACCAACTTCTTAACTTCTGAGTAAATATCATTATTCATAAAATTTTGAAGAATATTTCTGTAACATTGTTCTCGTAAGTTGCATCTATTGTTTTTTCCCACGTCTTAGATTTTTGTATTTTGGAATTATCTAGAATCGATCTGTCAATACGTCATTTTAGAATTACTTACAGTATCCAATTAATTCTGGAGTGTAATATACCGATTTGATCAGAACACACACTATTAAGAATCGATGTATAATCGATGATGTATCGAACCATGATAGTATCGACATAATGTTCGGTTGTTCTATTGGTTTCTCTCAGTAGATCTAACAAATTCCATATATCAACTGTAAATATTAAAAACACACAATATTTTAGTAATTTAAAAAAGAAATTAGATCAATTTTATAAATTTCTTATGTCATATATAATGAAAAGACCATGTAATAATATTTAGTACTGTACATTGGCATTTACTCCATAATATTTAGATTGATTGATTGTTGCTTGCTTAACGTCCAGTGACAATTGTTTCATGCAAATTCAGGACAAGAAACCTTTGACAATTAAAGCAATAGGTAGGTTCTGTAAGGTGATACAACAGGGATGAAAGGTAGGAAGTTTGGACTGTAACTTAAAAACAATGGTAGTATGTTGGATAGGGGCAGAAATTTCGTCTCGCAAAAGACCACCTACGGATCGCCGCAAAGAGTTGTTACACGGATTCTTTCACATGCAGAGAACGTGGCACTCTCAATAAATGAGGCATCGGATTTAACGTTCCTAAATCTGATCGCACGTGGCTGCTAATTTATACATCCCGCACAGTCTAACGGACGCCCCTTTATCGCAAAGGTCACAGTTTTACTGTCGGTCGGGAGGAGACCAAGGTGACCATATTTCTATACCCCAGTCACCCTTATGCTACCAGAATATTACAACTATACAGCTGGGCCATTATATATTAGTTTTTCTCTTCCCGTTGTATCGTGGCATTTATTTCATTACTGCAATGAGGCAGCTGTCTCACGCGATGTATTTGCATAACATAAATATACATGAATAGATCTGTATAAAAGTAAAAAAGGAGAGCCAAATTAAAGATAGTTTTGGACACCCCTTGTACATTTTTATTTATTTATTTTTATGAAAACAATGAGATGCGGTATAATAGCTATCAGCCTTAGACTCGCGAACAAGGATGTATTCATTTATTTAGAAACAAAGCTAGGGGACAGTATATTGTGATCAAAACAAGAAAACTAAACTGACGTTACAAAAAAAAAACAACAAAAAAACAAAAAAACCGACACAAAGAAAATCAAAGCAAAACATTGAAAATGTAATGATAAAATCACGAATTTCACTTGAAATTTAGAATGATGCATAATTCAAATGTTTGAAGGCTCATTGTCTGTTTTAAAGGGGAAAATGTGGTCGTATTGTTGTACTATGATGTTGTCGTTGTCTTGTTTCTCATTTGTTTGGTTCTATATTTACCGTTTTCTGGCTATTAAAGGCAAACAACTCTTGCCAAAAATCCGTTTGATTGTAAGGGATGGATAAATTAATACACAGCCACGCATGAACCGACTAAGGACGTTAAATTGTGGTCATTACTCTTACCAAACAGGTCATTTGATTGTGCGGGATGAATAAATACGTGGCCACATCGAACCTAGATAAAGACGTTTTATTCTGGCAATTATTCTTTCCAAAAAATCCGTTTGGTTGTATGGGATGGATAAATACGAAGCCGCGTCGGAACTGACTGAGGACGTTAAGTAGTTGCCACTACTTTTGACAAGGGTCCGCATGACTGTGCGGGATGGATAGATACGCAGTTGCGTTTTGCTGAGGATGTGAAATTGTAAGTATGCTAGGCTCTCTGGACGCTTCCGATGGGTGTCAGTTTGGTTGAGATGTACAAATAAACAGCAACGTCCGTTTGATAGTAAATTAAAGGAAACAAAACGATTTTTTTCTACACGAAATTTAAGCTAATACTTCTGTTCTTATATTTGTTATTTAAAAGACGAATTTATTCCATGCTATGCCAACCGATAGTTATTACTCACTAGAAAGCTACCTTATGTAAGTTTTAATTTTCAAACGTTTTGCTGGTACGTTGATCAATAAAATGTTCACTCGAATAGGCTTGAATATATGAATACTATCACCCTGAAAGTCTTACTTAGTTTATCAATATTGAATTTTCTATAAGTAGAATGAGAAACTTTTCAGGGCGTTGAAGTGGGATAATTTAATACAATGTATTGCTTTTTGTTGGCGAATATGCAGTAAAATAACTTTTGTGTTGTTTGGGTTGGTTTCAGATATAAAATAGGAATTCCATTTTGTCTAAGATTTGATTTTATTATTGACATCATTTTTTTTATCTGCATGTGACGTATTTTGTTGTTGACATTAATTCGGTCGGAAATATTCTTAATCTTAGATCAATGCCAGATTGGTTGTAAAGTATTTTCACTGGTCGTTGAAGACATTCGGGTAACTTTAAAGCATACAAACTATACACCAAAAAGATGTGTACATTAAGCTTATAATCATTCGAAAGTCAATGTAAAGAAATGTATGACTCTTTTGTTGTAAAAACATTTTAAAAATTCGTAAGTGTTAATAAGACATGTGCGGAAGTGAGTTTAAGAAAATGTTCGATATCGTATTTTATAAGTGTACTGTGAAAATTCAAAGTCAAGGTGTTATTTCATCTGTAAAATGAAAAACGTATTTCAACTGAGAAGGGGAAGTTGTATATGATTTGTAGAAAAATGGATACTCTATATTTTTGTTATATAAGATTAATTTTTTTGTTCACTAGACGCCAAGTTAAGCAAACGGCAACCATGCAATCTAAAACAATTCTTTTTTTCTTCTAGATAATCCCTGTTTCTACAAATCATACATATCCCACTTTTCATCTGAAAAATAATATAAAATTCAGACCATCTAAGAAACAATGCTGTAAGAGATCTTGTGCTATATATATTCGATGGAAAAATGTATGTTTGGAAGCTACAGAGAAAACATTCCCGATGTTATTGACTGTTTAAACATGTTGGTCAATATTTAAAAAAGACTTATTATTTAAGAAAAGTGTCTTTACAGTATGCTTAGCTTTGTTTGACAATAAAGTGTTATGATACTGATCACCTTAAACAAACAAGGTATTCACATTGAAATTTGTTTAATTGTTGTTTGTTTAATATGAAGTTACACAAATTTCTTCTATAAAGGGCAAAAGATTTATACAATTAATCAATTATAGATTCGGAAAAATGGATGAACCAGAAGGATAGCCAGAAATGTTTTATGACACTAGAATACGACAGCACGTTGGATCGGGAGAGATATTTTTGCTATGGTAAAAGTTTGCAAACAATAGTTGAAAGGTTGAACAGGATACTTACAAAGTTTGGTAGTAACTGTCTCTTAACATGATTTGCTATTTTGTTGTTAATTTATTTGCTCTTTGCGTTTCACTTAAAATTCTATTTCTATAACAGAAGTCATGTTAAATGTTTGGCAGAAAATATTTCTATAACAGAAGTCATGTTAAATGTTTGGCAGAAAATATTTCTATAACAGAAGTCATGTTAAATGTTTGGCAGAAAAAATCGGACACAAAGACCTAGATCCAATTTCCTCCTTGAATTTATCTAAGAACCGGATAATTTAAGTTTTTTTTATTAGATATTCGTATAATAACATCTTCATGTGTATATACATTAGGGTAAACTGCACCTGTTGTGTTCACTTATCGCTACACCAACCTTCGGAGCGGAGATTTAGATGGAATGGGGGACCATTTTAACACGAGTGGAGTGTCATTAAAACAACTACCTTGGTACATGTTCATGTGGTTGAGTTTCTTCCAACTGTTTTTCATATTTCTGAACAACGATTTCTGCACAACGATATGACTATATTTTAAAGGCTTCAAGTTTGAAAGAACTTGCATTGAATGATTTACATACGTGAGCTAAAAACAAGTCACAGGAATATTTACGAATTAAAGAGTTATAATAAATTTAAACTTTGCATTTAAAAATTACATAAATATGCCTTTAATTATATACGTTGAGTTATAAATATGTGACCTATTAGATTCAAAACCACGTAAATAAAGACAAAAGGTATAAAGAGTGAAACTGTTTGGTCGGATTATACATTCTTTACTCACTTGATATATCACAGTCTGGTTTACTGTTGAAGCTGGACAGTTTTCTGTTTTGAACCAATGTCATCATGTATATAGCTTCAGATTTTAGAGCTCGGTAAATACTTGTACGTATTCCCCCTGTCCTGAAGTTTACCTTACAAGTAAGAGTTGCTATTTGATCCAAGAAACTTATTTCGGTGGTCATTTTGTTTAATACATCATTTTGCTTTGCAAGAGCTTGCTGAAATGCAAAACCGAACGACAAAGCATACACAAGCCCTGCTGGAGTCAGAAAACAAGCAACGCATTGGTTAATATTGGGCATTGACGGAAATTCTGTTAGAGACCAGAAAAATTCAGTCGATGAATGGTACATGAGTATCATTAACGGACCAATGATCATCGTGGCTAAGGCTGGTATACTAATTTGAATGAACTCTGTGGTTGAGTGTTTAAACGTTTTCATAGATTCCATGACCTCTTGATCGAAGGATGACAGGAAGGCTTTTTTTGTATTTCTGTTCTTCTTGACCTGAATGATTCCTTGGTAGAACATAATGTCTGGGCCATCGCTCATCCACTGTAACTCGTCCTCGATTTGAATTCTTCTCCTTGCTCGCAACTTACTTAGGCACTTGTAATTATCATGGAGAGTTTTTATGATAATACCTATACGAAAGACATAATTATAACTTTAAGTAATTAGTTATAATCTTCATTTATATGTACAAACACAAAAAGGAGAGTTTTCTACATTAACATTTGCGTCAAAGTGATAAATATCGGACAACTAGGAGTCCCTCAACCTGGAATCTGTACTCGTTATTGACTAGTGACTCTCCTAGATTTCAAAATAAACTTGATATGCGACAGTTGAAGGGCACTTGAAGACACCAAGCACAATAAAAGATCATATAAAATGGCATTTCCAACAAAAAAGAGGCCAATGTTTATCAAAGCACCTTTTAAAACTATTTAGAAAATTTTGGACAAGGGGTATTCGAGTCATATAGCCTTAATTGTCTGGTCAAACAGGGTAATCGCATATTAATACTGCTTGAATAAAAATATGTAGTGAGACATAAATACTTCATATGACATTTGCTAATCTTAGAGCTTCATTGAACTAAAAAGTAAAATGGGTTCTTACTGACTGGAAGGGAGGGGAAATATTTTCATAATACCGAAAGAATCAACTTGTAACACGGACAAAAACGTGTTAGGTTTGACAAAAAAATGCAATAACCGACTCCTTTTTGGTATCGCACAGATTTGGCTTTTTTAACTTTTTTTTATTCGAGCGTCACTGATGAGTCTTTTGTAGACAAAACGCGCGTCTAGCGCAAATACAAAATTTCAATCCTGGTATCTATGATGAGTTTATTTACAGACATGTTTTGTGGAGGTATTAAGACGAACACGGCTATTTGCATTAAGATCAATAGAAAGACAAGAATACTATAGTTAACAGTTGTAGCGTGATCGTCAGTTTGAACAAAAATCCGCCCAAACCAGTGCTACAGGAGCCATTTTAAACTTGCAGTTAGGTGAGAGTTTTTGCTCCTTGTTGAAGGCCTCACCATGACTGAGATGAAGAATAGCAATAAAAGGGCTGTTCCTTTGCTTTTTATGTTTTGCTGTGCATGAACTGATTTTGTGTCATGGATGAATACCCCATATCCTTTCTTTTCTAGTACTACTATATAACATTAACATTAGTTTTTGGGGGACAGGACGATGTTTCGCATACGGAATATTCATTTTCTCCCCTTTTGCTAGGTCGGCTTAATTATTTTAAATTTTGTATCTTTGTACACAATTCTTTACTTCAGCATTTAAATGAGGCAGAATATCAATAGTCATTTTCATCCAGAACAGGATATGTATTTCAACCCCCATACCCCTTCCTAAAAATGTCAAATGAGCGTCCCCAAAATTAGACAAAAATAGGATGTTTTATTTTCATTTCACTAAATATAGGATTTCTCCTTCAAAGAAAAGGCATGAAAATTACAAAATCTCCTTAAAAAACTTACCAATTCCACAAACCAGTATAAGTAACATGGATGGTAACATTATCTCCAACGTAGTAGGTGCCGGGCGTGAAGATCGCGCTGCTACGTTGCTTTCTGCTAAACTCGGAGTGCTGTTTGTTAGTGTTGATGTAGACATGATTTTTTTAAAAATTAAATTACATTAAAACAGACCTTTCTATTAGTTTTGATCGTCAATTGTTCTAAATTCCTTGAGAATATAATAGAATAAAACGTAGCCGATTCTATCCATATGGTTAATCTTCAGGTCAGTTGTAAAACTTACAATCACACCTTTAGTGCTTTAAGTATTTTCTCTCTAACTAAAAGAAAACTATATTCCCGAATAATAACTTTTAAGATTCGACATATTTTTCTAATTGAAAATAACTATCATAATTCCGAATCGATACTCTTGATTAGAAATCTTCATGGTTCGATTAAAAATGAGAGTCAGTAGTTCCTCTAACGTTTAAATAGTTGAAAACTGTTATACACGAAAAATATAGTTTTGTGTCAATAATCATAGCACTGGAAAGCACCTAATAATCAATTAATAGAAACCCTGTTCACGTGTTTAATAACAGGTGTGTTGCATTGATCAATTCATTAAGGTATACAATTATATTCTTCTATTTATGCAAACGCTAAGGATATAGCTTGCTGAGCATGTAGCTAAACATAAAATGGCACTTAAAACAACTCGCAAACCAGGCAACCGTATGTTAAAAGGTAAACAGTTCTGAAGCATTTGACCTCAAGAAAAACCATAACATAATTGTTTACAAAACAAGGAGTTTCCCACTGTTCTCTTTAATGCTACCCTCCCCATAAAAAAAGAGAAGGAAACTAAATTGAAGTAACATATTAAGTTAATGAAAATTAAACTGACATGAGTTGAAAAAAAGAATAAAAAAGTTTTAAAAAATAAATAACAGTTAGAATAGTAACAAAACAAGAAGGGACATATATAGATCTGTGAAATAAGTTAACTAATTCTTTTATATACCTATGTCCGTTTTCAAACTTTTTTGAAACTGTATAAATATTTAATAGTCTGTAATTCATTGGTTGTCTTTTGTTGCTGTCTGTGGTATTATAGAACAAGATGTTGGTTTTTACATCGCGATGACCGTGAGGGCATTCCGATGTATTGTTGCCACAGAGATTTGACTTTCGTTTTTTAATGGGAACCGATCGTATAAATACGCGGACATTATCGAGTGCAAAATAACATTCCTTATCGCTTGTTATAAATTCATTGCTTCAATGAATACTCATAAAAACGAGTCTTTTTTTTAGAACATAATTTAATAATATGAAAATGTTTGACGTTAGGAATATATATATAAGTAAAAAATCATTAATATTTATGCACACGTACAGAAAAATTGTGTTAACGCATGCGGAAGAATATCTCAAGAACGTTTTGCGGGAAAATATGAATGCCTACTCAAATCCAATCTATTAGAAAAATCGAATTATTAGAGTGTCCACCATGCACTTGCACTGCACTATTATTAGAATAGTAGAATAGAATGATATACAAATGGATGAAAATTATATATACATGTAACTGTTATATACAAATATTAATATAATATATAACAACAAACCAGAGTATACTGATTTGTATCACTACAATATAATAGTTATTACGGTGAGGTTGAATTCCCTGTCATTTATTCATCATCCACGCACGAACTTGTCTCAGAAAAAAATATATCTCTGTTCATTAACCTCACTTTCAGGTATAGAGATGTGATTTTTTTTTCTGAGACAAGTGTTTGTGACCATCCACAAGAACTTGCGGTCATCCGATGTTCAGTACTTCAGTACTTTGATTTTGTTTGAATTGTTTAACATTTAGTCAAGACCGGGCCATTATTGGTGCTTACTATACAGTAAAGTCTACTTTATGGAAACCGTATGAGTCATGCCAAATCTTTGTTTGTCATCCTGTTACCTCTCTATTCATTATGTATTCTTTTACTGATAGATTTTTTCGCAACATTATGTATGTATGTTTTCCAAGTCAGTAGCCTGTAATTCACCGACTGTCTTCAGTAATAGCTTACTATAGGGTATGGGTTTTGCTCATTTGTTGAAGGCTGCACTGTGTCTTAGAATTGCTAACATCGATGTCATTTGGGCTCAGGTGGACAGTTGTCTCATTGGCAATTATACATCATCTGCTTACTTTTATATACATGTCTTTTTATTGAATTCCTTGATTACCTCTGCATATGGTCTTTCAAATACTTGCCTTATTTATAGACACAAATCAAATATTGTGGCTTAAGTCAATGCTTTGTGCTCTATCGATATGCTAAAGTAAGTTGTTTGGCTGTACTGTTCATAATTGAAGACCATCTAGCAATTGTCAAGAAAAATTAAAATCAATTCACCATCCTCATTACATGGTGTTTCATAGATTGGTTGCATATATCATGTTTACATCCAAAATCTTTCTGTTAAAAGATTTTTCTAGAATTCATTTATTTTGTATCAAATTGATTTTATTTCTGTCATAGAACGTTTTTTTTTATCATGTCTACCATACAATCTACCTTTTGAATGTTATATTCCTTTCCAAATTGGAAGCTAGAGTATAAATATCACTATCTAAATTTCTGATCTCAGGAAGTGGGTCATGTCCTGAAAAGGGTGGGGGAGGGGGTTTGCTGTAAATGGGTAAATGATATAAGGTATAAATAAACAGCCCTGTTCATTTATCAAGGTGGAAATAGTTACAATAATAGCCAGGCAACCTGTGATAGCAAAGTGTTGATGTTGATATATGTTAAACAACTCTTACAATATAAGAATAAGAAGAGGTGGTATGATTGCAAATGAGACAACTTTCCACCAAAAGAGACCAAATGACATAGAAGTTAGCAAATATAGGTCACTGTACAGCCTTCAACAATGAGCAAAACCAGTGACTGCATGGCAACCTTTAAACAACTGTTGACAAATAATATGTACATGACCTTTTAGAAGGCTAAATTTTGACATTCATACTTTGACTGCCTCAATGATGTTGTACTATTTTTAGAGATTCAATTTACTGGCGTAAAGGTGTTTCTGTTTCATATACAAAATATTTGATAAAATAATTTCTGGCTAAATTTTGACAATATTTACAGTACCGTGACTGTGGATTCATTAATTTTCGTGGCTACCAATTTTTTGTGCATTGAGAAAATATTGTATTTTATGGACATTTGATTTGTTTTGTCCGTCTGCATACAGCTTTAGAAAATTTGTACTTCGTTGAACATTTAAATTTTCTTTTTTCATCTATACCTACGTTGTCCATGAAAATCGGTATCTCACAAATAATAATGAATCCACACTACTCTGATTTGATTTAGGTTAATGGTTGTGTGGGGTTTAAGATAGTAATCCAATTCTAGTTTAATCAGTGTTTTTCCATGAAATATTTTACAGGATAAGGGATTGAATGAAAGGATCATTACCACCTTCTATGGACAAACCCTCCAGGCCCTCCTCCAGGGAAATCAGTTTACTTTTAAAATAA